GAGAGAGATCCTGAGGTTTTGTAGGGATGCGACTGCATGGTTGAAGGAAGGCTTATAAGGATTCATTGGTACTACCTATACCAACAAGATGCATCACAGGCACAAATGTCAGGTAATACGGGCTAATCGTGTCAACCTCTGATGCTTCATATAGGGGGTGTTTCTTTAGGGAGAACATAGCCCATGTCATGGGACACAGGCTGGTCGTGTTTGCCTCTGACTTTTTGTACTTAAAATGATCCTTTGTACGGTCTTTGGCTCTTTATCATCCTGATTCTCTGTATGTACTTCTTATTAACTGAAAACATGAAAGCAAAGCAAAAACAACTAAAAATGAACTTAAATAGTATAAATACACAAGAAATGAAATAGAAAACAAGCTAAAAAACACATACATTTACCACCTACCAAATACCCCCAAACTTTAACCGGACATTGTCCTTAATGTTCCAATTCAATTACGAGAGGTAAAGACAAAACCCACTAAAACCTCATTGAGGAGGTGGGAAGCAAAATAAGAGATTCCGAAGTGACCTCTGCTTTTGCTCTCTTCTTTTTGAGTTCCTCTTCTTTATTAAAATGATCCTACAAAATGAAAACATAATAAAAGCAATTTAAAAGTGTGGGTTTCCTCCCACGAAGTACTTTGTTTAACATTGTTTTAGCTCGATTGTCCATGAGTGTCATCATGCCAATTTATCCAACCATCTCTCTATCCTCTACTCTTCTTTTTATGCTTCCTATGGGGGTGATTCATACTTCTGAAACTGTGGGGGTGATTTTAGGAGATTTGTCTTATTAACTCAACTTTTTCATCTCTCACCTCAAGGGTAAACCTTCCCCTCTTAACATTAACAATTTCCCCTTTCATAGTCCCATACCTTAGACACCACAAATATTTTTTCGTGAAAGGAATTGGTGGCTTGTAAGGAGGAGGAGCAACATAAGGTTATTCTTTCTCTACCTCTTCGACAACCTCTTTTCTGGGTGGTGTCGTTGATTTTTTTCTCAATCTCTACTTTTTTCGCACCAAAACTTTCCTCAACCTCTTTATTATTCTTCCCATAATTCTAAATTTTTTTCCCACTTTTGGTTGTTACAACATTCACATGTCCCTCAAAGAAAGGTCCTAGAGATATGTGTGCAAGATGGGAGATTTGGGTCTCCAATGGATTTCTGTGAGTCGCGAGGGACTCGACCATAGTGTTTAGATGTCTAAGGGTTTTACTAGTATTAAGATTTTGGTTTCTAAACTCTTCATTATGGAGAGTTTGCATTGCCACAAAACTCTCCATCACGGATTCCAAGTTAGAGTGAGCTTGTGTCGCAATGAAATTGTCCATTAACTTTTCAAGGTTGGATTGTTACAAATTTTGTGGTTCCTCGTCATATTGGGAGTGCTTATTATAAAAAAAAAATGAGAGCACAACATTAATACTTACCAGATAGCCAATAATAAACAATTACTTGTTATCTATTATTCAGTCACACTAAATTACATAGATCACACCACACCTCTACCACACTACTACACATAGTCCCCCCTTTTGCCATGATTTTGCAAAGGGTTAACACTCCAAAATAGCAACCAGAGGTTCGTCATGCATAGGTTAGTATGTTAGTATATATACAGCCAGATCATGAGTAGTACAACCAAAACAACATCAAAATGTGCACAAGCATTAGAACGGGTGTTCAACATGTCTTAAGAGGCTATAGAGCCCTTACAAATTAATAAAAAAACATGCCCAGAATACCAGGGCCAATAAAATGAACTGAAAACATCTGCAGCCCAGCCTTTAATTTGCATATATAAGACTTCACACTCCAGCTTCTTCATATTAAAAGCCAATTGAAATTTTCCTCATCTGACTCAAAATTACTAGAATCACTTGATTCCATTAGATCTGTAACAACAACTTATATCTTTCTTATCTTCTGAGGATTCAGATTTGTGAGCCTAATCTGCTTAGTTCTTGATGTTCCCCCAGAAGGTTTAACTATGAAGATGTTATTCCCAACATCTCCAGCTTATTTGGCCTTATTTAACCACGACTCCAGCATATCACCAACATGCATAGAAACCTCAATTTCTTTGGTAGGGAAGCTCCCACTTGATTGTTTAGACGAAAATTTAGAATATTGATTCTTGTTGTAAGGATGAGCTTGAAGGATCATAGAGAGATTTGTAATCTGAAAGTAGGATAAGGCAAGATGTATGTTTTTCTTTCTCCTAACGACAACCCAATAGTACCACACTTGAGATAACAAAATTTTCTGCCTTATTTTTCGTGCCAAATTGGCCTTAGGGGGAGAGAATCATTTTTTCTGTTTTGGTACAACTCTATAGCATTGCTTGCTATAGACCATTACAAATACAAATACCAAGGGAACACCTCAGTTCTTCAATATGATTTTAATTTAAAACTTTAGTGAAAATGTCCCAGACCAATGTTATGACATCTTGTCCCACATTATACTTATTCAACATTTTGTGTATCCACTTCAATTGATGTGGTAGTTAGGTTTTAATAATGTGTCTTGTGAGGTTGAAATGTATTATGAGTGTTGCATGTGTCAACAAGGAATATTACAAGAATTCCTCCAATTAGATCTTGAAATTTGAGAGTTTGAGGGGGAGTGGGGAGTGGGTGGGGGATTGAATAATGAAAGCTTTGTGTATCCACTTCTTCTACATTACTTAACTCTTCTAATTGTCATGTTTGTCACGTGTCTTACTCAACCAAAAGTAGGAGAAACCTACTAGAATCACATTTGTGTTTTTGAACAAAATTTTATTCACAATTATACCAAAGACCTTTTGCACGTCGCTCTTGTAATTGAGTTTGTGATATGCGCCTTATGGGAAGTTTGGGTGGTTAGAATGTGGATGAGTGGTTTTGAAATGGATGTATGTTGTGGGAAGTTTGAGTTTTGTTATTTTGGAATCTAGGTGTTTTGGAAGTTGTGGTTTATGCAGCTGAAAGAGGTTGAGAAGGTTTTTGAAATTCAGATTTGACATCTTTCAGTTTAACTTCAATAATTTTTTGTAAGGCCAATTTCTTGGGTGAATGAGACAACTCCATGAATAGTCATTTCGTTTCTAATTTCATGTGCTAACCTATAAATAAAATAATTAAGAATATCTTATTGAGGTAGTCGCACAACTTGATTTATCAACTTCTCATATTTAGCTTGGTAGTCAACAATAGAACCCTCTTATTTTAAATTAAATAATTTTGCTTGATGATTAGCATATATTGAGGGGCCAAATCATAATTCTAAATATTTTGTAAATGAAAATAAATTTAAGAACAAGTGATTGTGATACATCCATTTAAAGCAACATAAAGTCTCACCTTTCATATAAAATGTTGCTAATGATATATGATTTTTAAGAAGTAATTGATAAAAGTTGAAAAAATGTTCTGCTTGAAACAACCATTCCAAAGGGTAAGACCGTCAACCAAAACATGTTTCAATTTTTGGAGTTCTAAATGGGTGATGTAGAGGAGTCTGACGCGAAGGGTGTTAATGGAAAGTGGAAATATTATAAAGCGTTGTGTTTGAAAAGGTCATTGTGAGATTGATGTAGGTGGGTCCAATAAAAATTTAGAGAGAATGAAGATGTTGGCGGTGGTTGTGGTGTTGTGTTTCTCAATGTAACAGTAAAGTTAGGGCGAGTTAGGTTATTTGAGTGTCTAGGTATGTGGGTAGGGATGAAGCTAGCATGAGTAAATAAATGGATAGTAAGTGAAACAATAGAAGTAATAACGAGAGAGAAATTGAGAGATGGTAAATATACTTAGAGATGGTAGATATACTTGAGATGACGTTGTTCTCAACTTTGAGCCATTAATTTGCACTACTACGGAAAACCCATTTAACAATGGTTAGAAAATCCATATAATCACGTGGGTCCAGGCGTTGTTGTAAATAAATTACTTACAATCATGGTTTTGGAACCGTTGTAGTATACTGAAAAATTTGCGTGATATCACAATGATTAGTTAACTTAACCATTGTTGTATGTCTTTTAATAAATAAAAAAATAGCAGTAGGACAACAATATCAGTAAGAACAACAAGAACAACATGAACAATAAGAACAACAACAAGAACAACAAAAACAAGAAGAACAACAAAAACAAGAAGAAGAAGAACAACAACAATAACAACAAACAACAACAACGTACAACAACAACAATAACAAGAACAACAACAAGAACAACAATAATAAGAACAAGAACAACAAGAACAACAACTAAAACAAGAACAATAAGAACAACAACAATTAACGTTGCTAACTTGAATCAATATTTTCCTTGTCTCATTCAAGATGAAGAATAGATGCTTTTGAGTTTTGCTTATGGAAGAAATGATATTTTCGAGTTTGGTTTAGTGGAGAAATAGAGTGTCGTAAATGAAAGATGATGTTTGAAGGTAGAAGATAAAGTTCGTCTATGTTGAAAGTTTGTCTAAGTTTTAGGTTTCACGCGGATCGCTGACGGTGGTGTCCTGAGCATTGATAGTCACTTGAATGGACGATTGAGATTTATTTAAGGATTGTGAAGAAACTCAATAATTACGCTACATACAACAACGGTTGTATTAAATAATCGTTGTTTTATGTATTTTAATAAAATATAAAAAATGCAGCACTAGAAAAGCAACAACAGCATGATTCGAACTTATGATCATGTGTACTACATACAACAACAGTTGTATTAAATAAGCTTATGAACACCTTGAATGTCACATCCAAATTTTTAGTGTATGGATTTATAAGTTTCGGAGTCATTGAATGAGGAACGAGAACACCAATAACTAACAAATTAGTGATAAGGCTAACTTTGTAGATCTGGGTTTCAAAAGAAAAATACATAAAACAAAAATTTCAGAACTCTCATTAAACTCTTACTACAACAACAGTACAACTTAAATTCTTAGTTTTCTAATCATAATGAACCTGAGTCACCATGGTTCATCATACTAGTTATC